TACAAGGCGAAAATTTTGGACAGGGTTTATTTCCGTAACATAAAAACTAGAGAAAGAGACAGGGCGGACCTTTAAACGCCATATAATAAAAGGTCCGCCCTCTATATTTCAGATATCTTACTATTACAAGGCGAAAATTGTGAACGGGGTTTATTTTCGTAGCATACAAACTAGAGAAAGAGACAGGGCGGACCTTAAAACGCAGTATGTTTAAAGGTCCGCCATCTATAATTCAGATGTCTTACTGTTAGAAAGAAAACATTTTGGACAAGGTTTATTTCTGTAACATAAAAACTAGTCAAAATGGCAGGGCGGACCTTAAAACGCAGTATAATAAAAGGTCCGCCCTCTATATTTCAGATATCTTACTATTACAAGGCGAAAATTTTGAACACGGTTTATTTTCGTAGCATACAAATTAGAGAAAGAGACAGGGCGGATCTTAAAACGCAATATAATAAAAGGTCCGCCCTCTATATTTCAGATATCTTACTATTACAATGCGAAAATTGTGAACAAGGTTTATTTTCGTAGCATACAAACTAGAGAAAGAGACAGGACGGACCTTAAAGCGCAGTATAATAAAAGGTCCGCCCTCTATATTTCAGATATCGTACTATTACAAGGCGAACATTTTGAACAGGGTTTATTTTCGTAGCATACAAACTAGAGAAAGAGACAGGGCGGACCTTAAAACGCAGTATATTTAAAGGTCCGCCCTCTATATTTCAGATATCATACTATTACAAGGCGAACATTTTGAACAGGGTTTATTTTCGTAGCATAAAATCTAGAGAAAGAGGCAGGGTGGACCTTAAAACGCAGTATATTTAAAGGTCCGCCATCTATAATTCAGATGTCTTACTGTTAGAAAGAAAACATTTTGGACAAGGTTTATTTCCGTAACATAAAAACTAGTCAAAATGGCAGGGCGGACCTTAAAACACAGTATAATTAAAGGTCTGCCCTCTGTTTTTCAGATATCGTACTATTACAAGGCGAAAATTTTGAACAAGGTTTATTTTCGTAGCATACAAACTAGAGATAAGGCGGACCTTAAAACGCAATATAATAAAAGGTCCGCCCTCTATATTTCAGACACCTTACTGTTACAAGGCGAAAATTTTGAACAGGGTTTATTTTCGTAGCATACAAACTAGAGAAAGAGGCAGGGAGGACCTTAAAACGCAATATAATAAAAGGTCCGCCCTCTGTACTATTACAAGGCGAATATTTTGAACAGAGTTTATTAAAAGTTATCGTAGCGTAAAAAAAAAACACGTTAAAATGGCAGGGCGGACCTTAAAACGCAGTATAATAAAAGGTCCGCCCTCTGTTTTTCTTTTTTCCCACATACATGTATCTCACTTACAAAGCAAAAATTATGGAAATGCTGTAAGTTCCTATTTTTTTTTCTTTGTTGGTTCGTGTGTTTTTCCAGGGTGAAAAGATAATTAGGTTTTTAATTTTCGGATGGACGCTAAATTAACTTAGAAAACTCTTGGAATGGCCTAATTGTGCATAAGAATTGCATATATACTACATGTACATGTAGTAGTGTACATTTTTCATTTAATATGCTGACAAAAAGACAAAACTTTAATGTCAATTAATTATCCTCTCTATGTACGTTTGCAGGAGATGTGTCTACTGTATTGTATATCTATATGCAACCATAAACATCTGTCTGAAGGGACCAAGGATATATATTATCATTTAATTAGTAATGTTGATGACGTGCAACAAGAGAACTATAACCCCCCCCCCCCCCATTACACACACATAAATAAAAAAGAAATAGCCGCTTAAAGTCGTAGAAAATCTAATTTAAACCAAAATCAAAATAAATATAAAAAATATTAACAAAAGAACACGACTTGGTGGTGTTTTATGAATTTTTATATCAGTCACGATCTCAACAGACACTTTCCTTTTTATTTTAGGTGGAAATACATGTCAAGTTGCTCTGTAAAACCCCTCTGTAAACAGTATGGGTGGATAAGATTCTCCCTAGTAAGAAGGTGGAAAAGGAGAAAATTCTGTACTGAAGCGTACTGAGTATTTCCTATGGTGGATAATAAAGCCGGGGTTGTTTCTTCCAAGCTCGCTGCATGTCATTTCCGAAATTTTGCATTGCATTTCCGACATTTTTTGTTTTCATTTTACAATACAATCAACACTAAATCTAGTAAAAATACGAAGTTTAGTAATAAAATGCAATAATTTCAATAATAAAACATGTAATTTTTGATCACCAAATTTTAATGCCCACTGAATTATATGTGTTTGAAAGCACCGAAAAACAGAATCTCCTCAACATTGATTACTTTATTCCGTCAAACATAGTTTCTGTATGTCATAAATTCTATCTAAACCTTTCTGATCTCAAATTCAGTCTGATTATCTTGATTTGAAAAGATGAACAAAAATTCAGAACTTACACTTACATGTGTCCGAGGACAAAATGGTCATAAGATTCTTTTAAATATAAGCAGAACTTATTATTTGGAAATCAATGAATTATTCTTGATTTATTCTTTAATTTTTTTACATGTATAAGGGAAATTTCAATTTTGTTTTCATTGCCGGAAAAGTACTTTATGGTGATAAATGTCAGAGATGAAAATTTTAAAACGTCAGAAATGAAAACTACAAAATGTAGGGAATGAAATAAACAATATTTAAAAAAAATTCCGGAAATAAAATCCTATGCTAGGCTCATTTTCCAAAAGGGGAGGGGTCTTTAAACCCAAGCTCGTTTTTCCGGGAAAAAATATTAATGCGGGAGGAAAGTCTACAACATCAGTACTTTTTAAACTATTTGACATGTATCAGCATAATTTTGCTATACCCCACCCACCAAAAATACAACAACACCATTTATAATCTTTTCCTTTTTTGGGGGAGGGGGTGTTTTATTACTTAAAATGTTCAACTCGATTGACTTTGGTTTGATTTTGCCAATTAATGCACATCTTCCTTAACCAGTGTTAACCCCGGGGTAATATCAAGTAGAATGAAATAATCGTTAGTCTTTAACTGGATAAGAAACGATGGTTATAAAAAAACGGGGGATATGCGACTTCAAGTTCCGTCAGGTGAGACAATAGGCCTACCCCCCAAAGCACAGACATGTTGTTTTAACAACAACGGGATAGGCTAGTACACCGTAACACAAGTCCCTGTCAAAGTGACCCTCCAATTATTTTATAGTTAGGTACAATATGAATCGTAAGAATTATGCATGATTATTATTAATGATATAATGAAATATCTTTCGAAAGATATGAAAATTCTTTTTGGGAAGTGGAAGTCGAACGTTGTTAGGAAAGAGACTGTAATGAAATGATCATTGTTGGACTTACGAACACTATATACTGAACAATGTGCCAGTGAAGGTATGCGTATTATATATATGTATTTTTTTTATTTTGCAATGATAATATTGATATCACTTAAACTATAAAAGACACATGTCGTACATGATTTTCCCATAAGGTAACTCGATCAACAGATCTTTGCATCTTTATATTTTTTGTTTTGTGCACTACCTGGGAGGTATGTACTACGATAAGGAGCTAACAGTTAATCAGTGCTAACATCAAATTTTGAATAATTTTTTGATAGATAATTTGAGGTTTTGTACTGAAATATATCATAGTATTAGAAATATAATTAATTAAAATTGGCTAACGAAATCCAGCAACTAGCGATATATCGCAAGACTTGATCCTTTTAGTATATATACAATGTACATACATGTACGTCCCTGGAACTCCATTTTGCTGGGAGGGACACTTTTATAACAACTATACCTTAAATAATTTAAAAAGATTAATAAAGCAAATTAATTTCGAATCAATAAAGGAGAAAAATCTGCATATTAAACCGAAGGCGGACCTTTTATTATAGAGGCAGGCCGGACCTTATATGTTATCGTATTAGGTCCCCCCGGACCTTTAAACGAGGCGGACCAAATATTATGCGACACCGGTCACACCAGCCGTGTGCTCCTTGTCATGATCGGGAAAAATCCGTCGACAAGTTAGTGTGTAAATAATGGCCTAACAATAAGTATGAAAAAAAGTCAGTCAGCATTTGACTTAATGATAGATTATATTTGCCGACAAGGTCATTGTATCGACCACAGAACTTACGAAATGATGACCTTAAACGAGACTGCTGATGTTCTTAAATTATGGTGAAATTTACATTGGAAAAAAACATGTCAAAAAAAAAAAAAAAAAAAAAAACAGCTGAAAGGCACACTAGTTCTTATTCCCAAATCATAATTCATAGCAAACTTGAAGAAATTAAAGCTGCGTTTGTGCAAAAGGTGGAGCAACTAAATACATGTATTAGAAAAGAAAATTTCATTCATAAATGTGGAACCATAAAAATTGCTAATTTAACATATATTTGTTTGCGTCCTTGTTTGGTAGCAATGTAATTGCTTTTAAAGTGTGCATTTTTTTAAAATAAAAAACATGCTAGGTTAAAAGTTTTATAATCTGTATATGATACGGATATACAGTTTAAAATAATACAGAATACAAATTCATAATTTATTTCCTTCTCTGCAAAGTTATGGTTATTTTGAAAACTGAAACTTTCTGACGTACGTTGACCAACTTTCTAACGTACGTTGACCATTTCCTAATTTTACAGTCAACAAAGAATCAAAATGTGGTTTTAAAGCTTACATGTATACTGTATATTTCAAAGAAATATAAGGTATACAATGTGGTTAACTATTGCATTCGATTAAGGAGGATTTAATCAATTGGTTAGACCACTGATTGCCATTTGTCGTTCAGGACCACGAGGGTCATGTTTAGCATGCCTTAATTAAGTCTCAACTCAATTTTCAATTCAACGAATTTGAATTTGAGATATTAAAGACATTGCACCGGTATGATTTTATAATTTGAAATGTAATACTTGAAACAAATGCATTGTTACACGTTTGATACAATTTATTTTTTTTTCTACTTACACAGATGAAGAAAATGGAAATCCAGTGAGATACTAGAAAGAACAGATTTTTTTCAGAAGAAATGAATATTATATTTAAACAAATATTTTTACTACAAATTACTTTCACTATTAGGAAACTTTTATGAATTGTAAGAGATTATACGTATTAGAGCATCACTTTTTTTTTTTTTATTTTTATTAAGATCATAATTCCCTTTTAACATGTTCCAATCGCATAAACTGTATTGTCATTAAAAAAAAAAAAAACTTTTGGACTGTTTTGTATACCTGTATACAAACGTTCCCAGTATTTCATAATGCATAAATCAGTGCGTTTAGTTTCAATTTTAGTGGACGATGTTGCCACTTATACAAGTAATAGAACTTGTTTGATTTTTAAAATTATATAATTTTATAACATTATTCTGTATGTTTCTTTGTCTGAATGCAATATTTATCAGAATACGAAATCTTGTTTTATGATTTTGATGAAATAAGAAGCACTTGTTTATAAAAGTAGGGGAACTTTGAGGTCTACTCGTGACTTTACGGACCTGATCAGGTAATTATTGGCCGAAGCCTAAGGATTGTTCCGAATTTTTAGAAACTGTGTATTTTTCTTTTCATATAAACTCTGCGTGCACAACAAGTCTTGTGAATTTTTCACGATAATTGTTAATACCCTGGTAAATCGGTTCCATGTAGGAACTGTTAATGTATGGATTATTGATATAAAAATAGTGTGGTTACAGAAACAAGTACATACATAAACGCAAAATAATAGTAATTATAAGCTGCAATCTAATTAAAATAAGATCTCTTGTCGGTTCCAACTAGATCGCTACAAAGGATATCTAAGTTTAATTAGATTGTATAAGCTGAATTTAGATTTCTAAATTGCTCCTAATACCATGTATTCATAATAAAAATATAGACGAAATTACACCAAAGAACATTAACATTTTACTTTCCAAACTTGTTATGAGTATTTGATATATAATTATGCTACTTAAGTAAGAAATGAGGCATTTAAATGCCTTAATTAAGAGATAAATAACTACAATGTTAACTTACGCCTAGCCATATACATGTAATAGAAAATTGAAAATCGTGCCAATACTTTTTGCAAGAATAAATTTATATTTTTTTTTCTTTGTTTTTGTGTTCTTTATGTTTGAACTAATTAAAAGTTTAGGGGGAAAAATGCACCGTATGCGGCGTATGACCCTAGAAAAGCGTGCCAGAGAAGTCAAGTATGGTGTCTGCAGGAGGTTTCTTTGGAGAAATTTATAAAAATTCATTCCTCAAGTGAAAAAATGTTGCAGATAGGTAAATAAACATAAAAATGTTTACTTTAGATAGCCATGACATTTAAGCACCACACGACAATTTCAAGATTGTTCCACAAAATTGGGGCAACCAGTGGACCGGGTATGGACACCATGCTCTAGATGACTACATGTACAAGGCGATATGATAGTCAATCTCTATGTATTATTTGATTTTGGGAGACTGCTTCTGTTGCAACCACATGGACAATCATCGGCAATCACTAACTTCATATCTGGGCAGGAAAGGTGGGCAGTGGACGTAGGGAAATTGGTTTTCGGCAAGAAGGTGTAGATAACGAACAGTAATCGATCTAAAAAACATAAAAACCTACAAATGATACAATTCTGTAAACAGGGCATAAAATCTAGGACCCCCGGAAATTGCAGCGGTGAAGATTTTGGACACCATTGTTGGCCAGAAAAATAAATAATATTCTGGTCATGGTAAATGTCGGATTGTCCATATGATAACCGAAATCTTTTTATTTTAATGAATGATAATTTCTTTTACTGACGATTAAAAAATATTGATAAGATTACTTTGTAACTTTTACTCGTGATTTTATTTTTGTTTTACATGTTTTAAAAACATTTATATTTTTTTTCCTTCAAAAGATATCGATGAAAATGTAAGTTAAGCAATTTTATATTAAAGTAACATATAAAATTATTTACAATAGTTTCACTCAAAAATTAGACCAAAAAAAAAAAAAAAAACAAAAAAAAAAACGCGTAATGATGACCCAGCTGATTACCAAAGACAGACTTCCTGTGTAATGCAACGTGTATATGGATTTTTGACATCTTGAGTATTAGTACTCTCAAGGTAAATAACACCAGTACTACAAAAACCACTCCTCCTCCTCAGGTAACCGTACGGTCTTTAATGGGTCTTTAAGGGTCTTGTCATGACACCAAGACATTTGTCCAAGACTGTATTGAAAAAAATGGCATTATGTATTAGATTAGACAAATGATCAATTCACAAACAAGAATAGCAAGTGGTGCGTTAGCACTTTTGTCTAGTGTATAAGTTTACTGTGGCCCTATACTGACTAAGAGCGCCATCAGTATAACAATTTAGGCCTTGTGAATCTCAAGATGAGTCGAAAGTAGGAAAAAGTTCAGGAAACGGATAGACAGACAGAAGAATTTTGGGCACTTTTTAAATCAGAATACCTCGCTTAAGTTTATGTTCAGGTAAGCTTAAGCACCATGAGATCATTAACTCAATGTAATTATTGACCCATAACTCAATAGATAATATCTTATGATGGAGAAAACTAGTAAATCAGTAAATAATACTGAAATACAGAAGTGTATTTCATATGATTACTCTTTTTTTTAGATCACGTAGTCACTCGGGTGACCTATTTTTATCAGTTTTTGTCTGTCATCGTGCGTTGTGCGTCGTTCGTCGGTCGTAAACTTTTGAACATTTTCAACTTCTTTTCAGGAGCCACTGAACCAGTTTCAACCATTTTGGCAAAGAGCTTGTATGGGTGAAGGATAAAAAACTGTGAATTTCATCGTCCCCGCCCCTCTACGGTCAGAGGGGTGGAGCTTAAACTAAAACTTAATGCAGTCTTTAAAAATCTTTCACTTTCCTCTTGGACATCAAGCAGTCAAATGTTTGACTGCTTGATTATAACAAGCAATGAGTCCTTTACCAGAATTTTGAAATTCAAGCCCAGGGGACAGGGGTTATTTATCTTATAGTGAAATGAATAAATTCTTTAAAAATCTTTTTCCCTGTTTATTAGGCAGATAAAATAGGTGCAAAGTTATAATGAGCAAGGGTGTCTCCTTAAAAAATGTGAATTTTGTGGCCTCAGGGTCAGGGGTTTTGGTGTTGAGGGTGGGAATTCTATTGATTATATAATTAAAATAATGCATTATATCTTTGAAAAGCAAACATTGATTGATTGTATATTGTTTTACGTCCCATTCGAGAATTTTTCACTCATATAGAGACGTCACCAAATACCGGTGAAGGGCTTCAAATTTTGACCTTTACTCGGCACTCAGGGCCATTGAGCAGTGAGGGATCTTTATCGTGCCAACGCCTGCCGTGACACGGGGCCTCGGTTTTTAAGGTCTCATCCGAAAGACCCGCAACTTTCACTTCAATGTGCCGAGCGCATGGCGAAGGAACAGTTGCTACCTATTTTTTATCGACTTAGGTCTGTCGCGGCCGAGATTCGAACTCACGACCTCCCGATCACGGAGCGAGCGCTCTACCGACTGAGCAACCGTGAACGGTTGAAAAGCAAACAAGCTAAGTGCAAAGTTATGAAGAACAGGGGTGCCTCGTCCAAATATGTTAATTTCATGTCCCCTGGGTCAGGGGTTCTAGTGTAAAGGCGAGACTCTCTCGATTATATAGTGAAAATACATAAATTCTTTAAAAACCGTACCGTCACGGTACTTCATTCGCCAGGGTGTTCACTCTGAGCCCAGGCCGCAACTGAAAAAATAGGTAGCAACTGTTCCTTTGCCAAGCGCTCGGCACTATGAAGTGAAAGTTGTGGGTCCTTCGGATGTGACCTTAAAAACTGAGGCCCCGTGTCACGGCAGGCGTTGGCACGATAAAGATCCCTCACTGCTCAGTGACCCTCAATGACCCTGAGTGCCGAGTAAAGGTCTGAATTTGAAGCCCTTCACCGGTATTTGGTGACGTCTCTGTAAAAAAAAATTGTCGAACGGGACATAAATCAATATACAATCAATCAATCTTTAAAAATCTTCTGTGCTCATGAATACTTAATATCAAACAAACTTATTACATGGCTATGATAAGCAAAGATGCATCTTTCATAATTGTGAATTTCATTTCACTTGGGTCAGGGGTTCTAGTGTAAGTAAAACCCTGTATTGATTATATAGTGAAAATGCATTTATTCATTAAAAATCTTCTCTGTTCATGAATACTTACCAAACAAACTAATTACATGGTTATCATAAGCAAGAATTACTCTTCAAAAATTAAGAAATTCATGTCACCTGGGTCAGGGTTCGGGTCTTAGGGTAGGGCTCTATTGATTAGGGCAAGGGTGCCTTATACGAAGTTGTGAAATTCATGGCACTCAGTCAGGGGTTCTGTTGTTAGGGTGGACTCTCTTGATTATATAGTGAAAATGCTTTTATGCTTTGAAAATTTCTGTGCATGGACATCTACAGTCTCGGGTCAAACGTGTTCGTAAAAAATGGCGGCCTAATTTTTCACTGTCGGTTCGATTCATTTTTCCGCGACAGGTCACATGGCTTTGTTTTGCGTATTTTTGTCGTCTGTAAATGTTTTGTTCCCGCTAAAGCAAATGGACAGGAAAATATCTGAGCTTTGTGAGTACGAAAAAAGAAAGCATTCTATCGTTGTCTAAAGCTAATATATAGTTAAATGAAATATCAGAGATGACCGTAGGGCCCAAATCTACTATATGCAGTTTTTTAAAGCAACAATAAAGACGTGGAAGTGTAGAAAACAAGGATCGAAGTGGCTGACCGCGAAAGATTAGTGTCCAAGGAGAGAGGCAACTTATCCTACTTGTGAAAAATAAAAGGACTTTGCCGGAAATAGCGAATGTTAAAAATGAAAATGGACCTAGAAGACTGTCGGAAAGTATAGTGAAAAAGAATTCTTAAAAAGGGGGGTTATTGTAGGAGGCTTGTAAAGAAAAATCGTGAAGCCAACAAAAAAAGCGAGTTAATTGGTGCATGCAATACACACACGAAACTGTCGATGGATTCTGGAAAATATAATATTTAGTGATGAATATAAGGTGATGATTGACGGAGAACAACGCGTGTTTATGTGGCGGAAGGACGGCGAAGAATGGGACCCCCCCCCCCCCCCGCCATGTAAGTTTTATACAACCCCATACCATCAAGTCAAGGCTGCGTCCAGGAGGGGATGCAGATCAGGAGCAGAGCAAACAAGGAGGGGATGCAACACAAGGTTGGTGCAAGTTTGATTAAGATTTAAAGTTGATGAAACTAAGGTGACCTAGTTTTTTTTTTTTTTTTTTTTTTTTTTACATCGCCGCCATTTTGTTTTTTACGAATACTTATGACCCGAGACTAGCAGACAAAGAGTTCAAAGTTGTATTAAGAAACGGTATTTTTACCAAATTGAACCACTCAGTCAAATGTTCTGGTGCTTAGTAGTTTTCTAATGATCTTGTCAGGAGCTTGTACTCTACTGAAAGAAATCATTCTTCTTTGCTATTCACCTATGATAATTAACTGAAATGTCAATAAAAAAGCATGATTGTATAAGAATTTTTATTGTATAATACAAAAAGTACTTTCTCAGTTTTTAATGAACACGTAGACTTGTAAGTAATAGATAAATTTAAAAGAAATGAAACAAAATATCCTATCTTTGTACATTAAATGTTCCTCAAAGACAAAGAGAGGCCAGTGTGAGAGGGAATGAGATGGGTTTACTCAATTGTTTTGTTTCGTCTACATTGTGATAGTGACAAATAGGGCAATATTACAGGCAAGTAAATAGATCCTCTTAATGATTTATCACTGAATTCTAGATTACCTATTTTATGATCCCTCATCATCCAATTTCTCTTGTTTTTGGCAAAGTATCTTCACTTATCAGTTTATTTTGTTTTATTTTATACTACAATGTTGTACTCATATTATACTCAGGTGACCGTTAAGGCCCTTTTTGTTTACTATATATATATATATATATATATATATATATATATATATATATATATATATATATATATATATATATATATATATATATATATATATATATATATATATATATCTCCAAAACAGTGTAACCAAATAACATTTCTTTATTGTTACAGTGAATTAGTTGATCTTGAGATTTATTTCTTATCTCTTGCAAATACACAATACACATCCACGTGATGAAGATGATTAGAACATATGGAGGTTATGTACATGTGCATTGTCTATCTAAAATTTCATATTCACTTGATATTAATTTTTTGAATGAGATACTTTTACAGGAAATTATTTCAGCAAATATTAAGGTAAAGGGTCTTCTACTAACAACTATGATGAGATTTTAACATTGATTAATTGAGGTACAATAGTATTTACTTCTGGTCTTATGTGATACACATGCATATGCCAGTGAACAGGGTGATGTAAATTTGCCTCATAGAAATACATTATTTTACTTCTAACCAACTTATTACTGAGATTTGAAGGTATTTAATTAAGTAAATTTAGTTGATAAATGATAAAACTTAGACATGAGACATTTATCTCATTTATCTACAGATATGAATAGAATGTTTACGACATTGTGTCATCAAAAATCACAAGATACACAGGGGTCATGATGTTTGTGGAGTAAACATAAGGTAAATATTGTATAATAAAATACGAATCGCTTAAATTGATTTTAAATCAAGTTGTTTTCATTTTTTATCCTTTGCTTACATTGAATGAAATATTTCCCGATAACATAAATATACACAGAATAGCCAATAGTTGCTTTTGAAGAACCCATTAGATACTCATATACATGTATCCTTCTTTTTTCTTTATACTAAACATTATAAACATGAACATTTTTTTTAGCTCCAACATGAATCTTACAAGACGAGATATAGAGAGAATACTGGCTGTATTCATTGGCTTTTTAAGCATGATTACTTCGGGATCAACATACGCATTTGGAGCATTTACTAATGCTGTAAAGGCACATTTTAACTACACTCAGTCTGAAGGTAAAACCCCGATCGCGACATTTAAGAAGTGTAGAAATTATGCTGGTTGTACTAGTACGTTCTTTTATTTCAGAAGTGCATATTTTATTTTTTTATTCATAGTTGAATTCCTTAGTTCGATGCCAAATATTGGAATATCATTTGCATTTCCTGCTGGGATAATTATTGAAAGATATGGTCCTCGTTTGTCAACACTACTTGGAGCAGTATTCAGCTCTCTCGGATATGCCTTGTTATACAGTACAACTTTACAACAAACATTCTACCGTTCAAAAGCCTGGCTCCAGTGTGTGTATTTCTTCATAGCAGGTTTGTACAAAACTGCAATAAACTCAAAACAGTCCCTCACAAAAAGGGTATGGAGCTCCAGTTGCTTTCTCAAATGAGCTGCCACTGCTACTCAAAATTCTCACATATTGCAGTTGAAAAATAATCAAGCTTCCCATAAATTTAAAAGACATACTCAACCCTAACCCCCAATTTTTAATTTTGAATTGAATATCTGGTGTCCAGAAATTAGCATTTGAAAATCTTTGCTCTCCATTTTTTTGTTTTTTGCTCACCTGAGCCGAAAGCTTGGGTGAGCTTATCTGATCAAAGTTTGTCCGCTGTCTGCCGTCGTTGTCAAAATTTTTTTCATAATTTCATCTTTTTCTCCAGAACCACTGGGCCAATTTCAACTAGACTTGGCACAGAGAGTATTTAAAAGGGATTCGAATTTCTTTAAATGAAGGACCACGCCCTCCTTCAAGGAGAGATTTTATCACATCTTTCAAAACTCTTGTCAAGAACCAATTGTCCAGAAAAGATGAAACTTATACGAGAGCTTCATAACATAGTTAGATTTAAATGTGTTTAATTTATGAAACGGAAGATACAGTGGGACCACGGTGGACGATCAACGTTTTACAAAGGAATATATAGGAAAAAATATTTAAGAATTTTCTCAACAACAGCAAAGCCATGATTAGATAAATATACATATATATGTAAAGATCTTTTTCTCAAAAACAATAATGATATGGTTTGTCAAATTTATATGGAAGTATCCTCAGGCATTGTAGATGCAAGTTTTGTTCAATTCATGAACGCTCAGGGATAAGGTCAAAACAGGCGATCAGAATTTTTTTTCCAGAGTATATATAGGAAAATATTTAAAGATTATTTTCCTCAAGATCAGCAATACCATGATTAGTCATATAGAAGCATCCTCAGGTAGTATTAATTTTATTTTTTCAAATCATGAGCCCAGATGGTAAGGACGAGCCACAAATAAATAAATAATTTTACGTAGAAATTACGAATATATAGGTAAAAATCTTTAAAACTCTGCTTAAGAACGCCAGTGTCATGATTAGTAATATTAATACGAAAGCATCCTCTGGTAGTATAGACTCAAGTTTAATAAATTCAAATCCTGATATGACCCCCAGGGATAGGAAAGGGCCACACCAAGAGATCACAAATTTACAAAAATATATCGGGGAAATCTGCTGATGAAGAACATCAGGACCATTGTGACTCAGGTGAGCTTTTTGGCCCATGAGCCTCTTTGAATATTGTTATATATAAAAAAAAATTACACGATTCACAAATTTGAAATATGTCTATGATTTTTAGGCTTCGGTGCAACATTTTTCTACATGACTCCACTTTCAATAAATATGGGAAATTTTCATCCAAAACACAGAGGGAAAATAGTAGGAATAATGGATGCCTCATTCAGTGCTGGACCTGCTATTTTTGCTGCAATCTATGGAACATTGTTTGTTCAGGGACATGTAACGGACGAAGAAAACCAAGATCTGAAGGGATTCTATCTCCTTAATATTATATGTGCTTTGGTTGTAGGTGCCCTCTCTTTGATCTTCGTAAAACGAATAAGTTACGATTTGGATATTGAAGTAACCCGTATCATTAATAATGATTCAAATGATGATCATGATCCAATAACAGTGGAATTCAAAGAAATGTTTCCAAGAGAAATTACCGGAATAAAGCTACTAAAACGCTTTGACTTTCACTATCTGTCTTGGGCATGTTTCATTTGCGCTGGTTTGCAGCTTATGTTTCAAAATAATTTAGGGACGTACCTCAAATCCTACGGATTGGAGAGTTATACAACCCTCTTCACAACACTTAACCCTATTGCAGCCATTGCCTCTAAATTTTTTGCAGGTTTCATGTCAGATGCCATCATGCGTTGGGTGCCTAGGTCTGCTGTTTTGCTATCTTTTAATATTTTACAAACAGTGGATCTTGGATTGTGTATATTTTTTGCAAACAACTTTGCATTATTTTTTATCACAGACCTCGTAATTGGCTTTGCAAATGGCGCTGTTTGGTGTTTAACGCCTACTATGATAAGTGAGTTTTATGGAATGAAAAACTTTAGTAGGAACTGGGGCTTCATCATGTTAGGGAATGCAGTTGGTGGACTAGTTCTTCAGGAAGCATTTGGTGTCCTATACGATATAAACACACGTTCTACCAATCAGTGCTACGGACTGCATTGCTTTACATGGAGCTTCATCATAATTGCAGTTTCCAGTTTATGTGCTACAATTCTTAATGTTGGACTTCTGCAGAAGAAGTTGGATGAGAAAAAGTATGGAAAGGAATGTCCAAGAGCCGAATATTGTTGTACGTAAAATATAAAGAGAAAATAAAATAAACAGACATGTTGAAAGTCACTTCTTTCTTCTAAAGTAAGGGGTCTGAGTCAGAATATTTTTTGATCGTAGATATATAGGTACAACTGCATGCGTTAATGTAGGCGATACAAAAGCGATTCATGTTTTGTATTCCCTTCGAAAGAAAAAAACTTGCCGTGAAGTACTATTCGAGCTATTTTTTTCTTTGGCGTACTTTAATTACCAATAATATCTATTATCTGTGTGAAATCATTAATTAATCGGAAAGATATTAACGGAAAACATGAACGATGAGAAAATTCAGGAACAGGAATTATTTTCAATGATTTTATTTATGCGGAGGACGAGATTGTCTATGGAATATTTCAAATATATTTTATCTTTCAGTTTATATATTTATTCAATATATAATTCAAGAAAATTTTTAAAATTTCTGAACTTAAAAAATGAAGTCCCCCCCCCCCCCCCCCCCCGAAATTCATTGTAATAGTTCATTGTTTGATAGCTGGATTTCATCATCCGTTGTTCATTATATAAAAAAATATTTGTTAGCATAATACATTTTTCTTTTATTGCTAAAGTTAAGTTTTTATAATGGTATCATTATGACAATTCAGCCCCTGCTTGATACACGTAAGCCCTAGCCATGACTGACTTTAAAAGTAGGTAAAACCTGGAGAAACATGTTGAAAAGTATATCTACAGACAGACTTCCTGACGAAATAGATAGAAAAACTTACAAAGTAAGTAGGACCTATGTAGAGCTAATGGGAATTTTGGTACTATGATACTGGTGGATAATTTTTGTCATGCAAGGAGAAATAACAAAAATATGACCTAAAACAGACTGAAAAAGCATTTGTTTTGAATATACAAATACTACTTAAAACGCATATAATTTAGCAGACTAAAAATTTAGTGCAATTTTCCTCATCGATTGATTACCGTTATGGTAAATTTTCGCATTTGAAAGAAGGCTCCTATATGCATTTGATTTAATAATTTCTTAGCGTGTACTTTGATAAGCGGACAAGAAGCAACACGAAAGACGCTTAACAAAGTGCTTGACTTTCTTGAACGAAAGATACATCAACTATATATAGCAAATATAACCTATCATTTGGTCGTATTTTGGCTAACTTGTTTCATACCAATTGTTAAGCCTTTGTTTTTATACTGAATTTGACTACGGGAAGTTCCGTCTACCTGACCAATACATAGGGCTCACAGCGGGTGTGATCGGTCAGGGGATGCTTACTTCTACTAGGGACCTGATCCCACCTCTGGAATTTTTCCAGGGTCCGTGTTTTATGCCCTTTTTACAGAATTGTATTGTTCATAGATTTTTGGAGATCGATTACTGTTCGTTATCTAGACCCTTTTCATTTTCATACATATCTTAATGTCGAGTTGAAGGCCACAGCAAGAATTTTGTTTCCAATATAAAAACAGGGCGCTAATAAAGGATCACAATTAGTGCCCATCGAATTCCAACAGACTGTTGCAAGACCTGGTCTCCAATGATGACATGAGAAACTCTTTTTAATATCAACCTCAGACCGGTCACAGTACTCCAGTGGTAGGTCGTTCGTTTCGTGATCGTCGTGATCAGGAGGCTTTGGTCTGATTCTCGTTCGTCGCGCCGCGTCAAACCTAAGACGTAAACATAGGTAGTGACTGTTCCTTCGCCAGGCCCCCAGCATTTAAAGTGAAATCACAGATCATTCAGATGAGACCTTAAAAACCGAGGTTCTGTGTCAAGGTAGGCGTTGGCACGATAAAGTTCACTGTTTAATAACCCTGAATACCGAGTTAAGTCGAAATTTGAAACTCTTCACCGGTATATAGTGACGTCTCTATATGAGTTAAAGTTCTCAAATAGGACATAAAACAACGTACAATCAATCCATTAACTTCAGAGTACTTGTATCTAAAATAAAAAAAAACGGTGTTTAACAAAGTAATTTTGTAGATGACAATTCACAAGGTATAAAAATTCACGAGTTCCATTTCATTGAGGAAGCAGTTGAAAGCCTGCTCTTTCATTATCATTAGGGATTTTTGTATAAGTGTAAAAAGTCATAAGTTTAAGTGAAATTTGATAAGTTTTAAGATTTTAAATTTTTGAAAATGTCTTCGGAGGTATTTTGCAACCACATTTGAAAAAAAAATGTTTTAACTAGATATCTTCAATTTTTCTGTTAAAAAAATCAAGACAGTATTTGCACAGATTACAGACTAATTAAAATTATCAATTTATTCCAACCAATAACTTTGTTTACAGTGAGCATAATTACTTATTTTGTTTTAAGAATGATATGCTACATAAGAGAATTCCAATTATTTCATTAACATATTATTTCCGAGATACCTGTTCATAAAACTAATGTCAAAGATTAAGAGTTTGAAATGACAATTATGCTTAAAGAATACCAAAAATGCTAAAACTTCATACTTAGAAGAAAAACTACATGTATTCACTAATCCTATATTAAATCTATCAGCTACATATAACATAGATCGCCTTTATATTTTGGCTATATGTCTTCCTAATCTTAATTTATGTCCACCACTACAAGTAGCACAATAACAGCCCGGACTTCGAAGCCGAGTTTTCGGATCCAAGAGGAGAAACCTCAACTAGATAAACTGGATGGTCTTGTTTAAATTTATCAATTCATATGTTTTATTTTTACCTTTTCTGGATTAAGTTGTAGTTAAGGAAAAATAAAATGACATCTTGCATTGTCTCTGATTCCTTTCTTATTGTAACGAAAAGAGAGGGGAACTTTCATCTAGAATGTAAATCTGCAAATCCCCACAATAATATACTGTCATATCGAATAAAGCATGTAATTAACAAAATAATAGCATGTTTCTGTCATCAATATTTTGGTCAAATATAAATAAATGTTCTATTCAAAAGGAATTTTCTGAAACCTTTAACCAATTTTTATAAAACAAAATCAGATGAAGGTTAGTGGTTTAAAGGGTTGTTATAGTAAATTGCAGATAACAATTTCTTTTTTAAGCAGGTTTTTAAAAACGTTTACTGATTTAACATTGATGTGTAATACATCTTTAAAAAAGAATCTCTAAAATTAGCTTGTGAATGTTGTGCAACATCCTGATGAAAACGATCCAGTATTGCCATGTTTTTACAAAATATGACTATCATGAGGTACAGGAGCATAAAAACTCACCTGTAGTGCTTCAGAAGATGATTAATAAAAACATTTATTTCCCTCTTTATTCCAATGAAAATTTTTTCCCTTTATCGTGGCCATACCCTAAACATCAAGGGGCCATCATTTAATAGAACTTGAATCCGCATGTTCATCACATTGGGATGCTTCAATATCAATATGACTAACATGACCTTGTTCAGTAGAAGATTTGTCAAGATTTAGTTCCTATTGATCTTCTATTTTAGCACCACCTTACCTAAAAGGGTCATAGTTTGAACAAACTTGAATGTTTATTACCTGAAATTGCTTCCATTTCAATATGACCAGTCATGGATCTGCTGTTCTTCAGAAAAAGTTCCCCAATTTGTTCTCATATAAGTTCTTTTTATATATTATTGTCACACCCTACCCTGGGGACCATAATTTGAACAAATACAAATGTACATTACCTGAACCAAAATAAGTGTGATTGAGAGGAATAGTTCAATTGAAGTTGATTTTTCTTGCTTTTCATTGTTCTTATTCTGTTGCTTTAGGTGGCACTACAGTCGTTTTCTACTTGTTTCTCATAACTTTACTTAGTGCACATTTTAAAATCCAAATGGTTGAAAAGTTAAACATAATGTTATGCGTAGTTTAGACAGCTGTGCAACAGGATGATATTCTAATCATGGGAATTGTTTATTCCAAGACAAAAAAAAGAAGAAATTTTGCATAGATGTCACATTTCCATTCTTTTCCCTGAATATGATACGGATAAAGTCTTGATAAAAATAAGTATTTTACTTGCATTAGCATTAAATCATATACATTAAAATACTTGCAGTAAAATACATACATTATTCTTCTCTGCTGAACAAGATATTCGTCAAAAGTCTAGCTTCTAATTAACTACATAAACTATAACCATAGTCAACATTTGAAACTCTTTTTACAACATAACTTAGATAATATATGACTAAGAATTTATTTACTTCTAAGATACTTAGTACTTTGAGTGATTGATCATAGTTTGTACTTACACTGAGTCGTCCCCAGTTATAAGCATAGTGCCAGATTTAGTTTATGTCTTCAAGCCAATACAGTAAAGACTTTTTATCATGATAAAATACTTACATGTAGCTTTAAACACAGTTAATTTTAGAAATTATGTCAAATTCCTCTACAATTCGTTTTAACTTGAAACAGTTAATACGTAATACGTAATGAACAATATTCTAATTGCAGCTTAGATATTTAATTATTGAGTATAAAGAAATCCAAAGATGGTTAATAGTTAATGATTATTTAAATTTAAATGTATCTAACAAATCACTGACCGTACTTTGTCAGATAAGAAATCTTAATTACATTATAAATAGGGATGTCAATTTTGTCAATAATTCATATTCGAATATTCAATGAAAGTATTCGAATATATTCGAATATTCGATAACATAAATAAATTCTGTTTAATTTATATATGCATCATCCTACTCTCACGAAAGGTTTAGTGTAGGTATACTTATATTGGAAGTAAAATTGTATGAAGACTTTTGTATAGGTGTACAATAAGAAATTCCATTTGATATTTGTCAATGTTTGAAATAAATAACTGATTTCAATGTAGAAAAGTATAATTTTAACAAATGAAACATGTGTATTTATAGTAGCTCCAACTGAGGAACCTGTCGTCTTACCAAAGGAAAGATATAGTCGAAACGGTGTACTGTTCAGATTTCAATACGTACAGTATACAATTATCTGCCTAATAAGAGATATGATTATAATTTTTGATTTTTTTTTTAAATATATAAACAAATATTTCCATAGACAAT